TTTCACTGTGTAACTGTAGTGTCTGGATTTCTGGGGTTTCACTGTGAAACTGTAGTGTCTGGATTTCTGGGGTTTCACTGTAACTGTAGTGTCTGGATTTCTGGGGTTTCACTTTGTAACTGTAATCTCTGGATTTCTGGGGTTTCACTGTAACTGTAGTGTCTGGATTTCCACTTTGTAACTGTAGTGTCTGGATGTCTGGGGTTTCACTGTGTAACTGTAGTCGCTGGATTTCTGGGGTTTCACTGTGTAACTTTAGTGTCTGGATTTCTGGGGTTTCACTTTGTAACTGTAGTGTCTGGATTTCTGGGTTTTTTACTGTGTAACTGTAGTGTCTGGATTTCACTGTAACTGTAGTGTCTGGATTTCTGTGGTTTCACTGTAACTGTAGTGTCTGGATTTCTGGGGTTTCACTGTGTAACTGTAGTCTCTGGATTTCTGGGGTTTCACTGTGTAACTGTAGTCTCTGGATTTCTGGGGTTTCACTGTGTAACTGTAGTCTCTGGATTTCTGGGGTTTCACTTTGTAACTGTAGTGTCTGGATTTCTGGGTTTTCACTGTGTAACTGTAGTGTCTGGATTTCTGGGGTTTCACTTTGTAACTGTAGTGTATGGATTTCTGGGTTTTTACTGTGTAACTGTAGTGTCTGGATTTCACTGTAACTGTAGTGTCTGGATTTCTGGGGTTTCACTGTGAAACTGTAGTGTCTGGATTTCTGGGGTTTCACTGTGTAACTGTAATCTCTGGATTTCTGGGGTTTCACTGTGTAACTGTAGTCTCTGGATTTCTGGGGTTTCACTGTGTAACTAGTCTCTGGATTTCTGGGGTTTCACTGTGTAACTGTAATCTCTGGATTTCTGGGGTTTCACTGTGAAACTGTAGTGTCTGGATTTCTGGGGTTTCACTGTGTAACTGTAGTCTCTGGATTTCCGGGGTTTCACCGTGTAACTGTAGTGTCTGGATTTCTGGGGTTTCACTGTGTAACTGTAGTGTCTGGATGACGTGTCTCAATTTGACACTGTTATGTCTGGAGTATTGAGGTTTTACTGTGTAACAGTACTGTCTGAATTACTGGGGTTTTAATAAGAAATTGTAGTGACTGGATTACTGGTGTCTCAATATAACACTGTTATGTCTGGAGTACTGAGGTTTCACTGTGATACCGTAATGTCCAAATTACAAGGGGTTTTAAAGTGAAATTGTAGCGACGAGATTACTGGAGTTTCACTGTGAAAGCATAGTGTCCAGATTACTAGGTTCCAATGTGAAACTGTAGTGTCCAGATTACTAGGGTTACAGTGTACCGGCAACTTTAGTGACTTTACAGACCCGTTTTGTAAGTTCAGGCCTACCAAAGAAATTTTGTGTATTGATCACAAAAGACTGAAATATCCACAAAGTAAGTTACTTCTTTGCAACAACAAAATGGCTAATAAATTAACTTCCTGTAAAATTTCCATACAAATGTCTCAAATACAAGATAATCATGCTCTCTGAAAGGAGTGAAGTAAAGAAAAATTAAGGTGCATTTGTGTTAAAAGAAGGCAAAATAGCTCACTCTGCCACCTAAACACCAGATGGGTATCTATCTCGTAGAGTGAGTGAGTGAGTGAGTGAGTGAGTGAGTGAGTGAGTGAGTGAGTTGTGTTTAACACCGCTTTTAACAGTATTCCAGTTACATCGCGGCGTGTCAGCTTAATGTGGGAGGAAAGCCCGAAGTGATGCAGGTCTCAGACGTTTAGCACTTCGGTGAAACCCATGAGCACGGGTATGGTGCTGACAAACCTAGAAACATAATCGGGGCGAACCGGGATTCGAACCCACAATCATAGGTTTCTGGCGTGTCCAAGGGACGCAACTCTGCACATCGAATCGCGGCGCCTTAGATGACTGGGCCACCCGTGCCCCCTATCTCATAAAGGAAATCATTTTGAACTACAGACCAGTCAGATGTCATGACAGAGTTTGATGACTATCTGCCATACAGATAGCTATACTTGTATATACATTGTATAAAAATGGCGTTAATTGTAAGAGGTTTCTCACTCATGTATTTCTGCAAGCATGTCTTTTATCTTATGCAAATAGTACACCATGTGTTCAAAGTCTACAGATAAAGACACTTTATTTCATTTCGTTGTTTATAATACTGTGTAAAAAAGAATTGTTGAAATTTTGCACATAATCAATAAATGTAAAGTTTCTGTGGTAGACCTGGTATTTAAGGCACAATCCCCACAGCAGCATACCTCCAGCTATAACAAGTAATAACTACTGCTTCTGTCTACAACTCCACCAAATATTCAGCCTTTGTCATATAGGTTTACACACTCCCTAGAAGTTAACAGTTTGGAATTGAGTTTACCTGTTAATCTGGAAATGAGTCACATGTAAAAGATATATTCGAAAGAGAATAACCAAATTCTTCATATCACCTTGATGAATACCTTTCTTTCAACACTGATGGAAACTTAGGCAAAGAGCCTAAACAATCAGAGGTACAATACACGATGAGATAAACACTTTGCGTTTGATATATTGAGCGTGTTATTGAGTACTTGATGGCTGTTTATTTGAAGTTACACCCACATATTTATAAACATATAATTTTATCAACATTGTAAATACGAAATGTACCGGTAATTCAACAGCACTTGAAAATGCACAATATCATCAGCAAAAGTTGCACTTTAATGTAATTATGTACATAATGATATAATATTCATATCAATTTGCCAAACATCGTGGATTTCTTACTTTGTAATTGAGAATAAAGCAAGAACGTTCAACGGAATGTTATCAAGGAATCAATGGAAAACATCTTTACACAAACATATTACTTCAGGTAAATATAAAATGCCAAATGTTACATTAGATCAATGAGATGTGTGTAGTCCACATTGTTTACTATTTAATACAATTTAATTACTGTTAATGACATACCTGAAAACAATTTCGTGGACATGCTATACCAGGTGTTGACATACCAGCAGCGATGATTTTGCGGCAGAAATAAAATAAATAACTCAATGTCTGCATGTATAATATTATTGCTGTCAACACATCTGTACTTATTGTACAAACTGTGTAACATACACAAGACAATATGGACTGTCATCTATACTATTGAGCACAATGCTAGAAAGAAACTCACTTAATTATTGGGGCAGAGTGCTTAACATAGCGAATACTATATTACCATAAATTGCTCCTGAAATGGAATAAACAAATTTCACCCTTCATTAATCTTGTAAAGTGTTATTCTTAGCCCACACTATTTAATATCAGAGATGAATAATTATACAAACAGCTGTAAAAACATTCATGTTCACCTGTTCAAATCAAAAGATTAATTCTGGTAATTAACCATCACCATTTTGGGCAATTTTGAGGAAAAACATGGCAGATGACACTAAAAAACACCTTAATTGATATAATTCAAACAATCACACATGAAATATTCTGCTACGTTCTATCAACATTATTCAAATGGCTAAAAAATCATTTTAGGTGCTATGATTTACAGTAGAAATTAATGTTAACTGATTTGGAAAAAAAATAATTGATGGAATGTCCTGAAAATTAAGCATAGAAAAATATGATTGTAAAAAAAACAGGTGCACAACTTTGTAAAACATTAAATAAACATTTTTTGTCCTCTAACCAATAAGAATTGTTTAGTTTAATACTTGAACTAGTTCTTCAGCAAACTCGTCCCCATTAAAACTTCAGTTGGCCCAGCTGACAACGACCACACTTACTGATCAAATTTCTATCGATTTTTAATATTTTCCAAACCTTCAGTTGACAATTTGTCTTTTGCCCAGTTTGCCACTCTATCATGTCTATTTCTTGTAATATCAACATAATCAATCAACACAATAGATGCCATTATTTTCAGCCCCAAAATATACAACACAACAAAACCGTGCATGGCAAAAAATATTAACAATAAATATATCACATTCAAAAAGAAAAGTATTGACATAACAATCTGACATCGAAAGCCATCTGCAGACAACTCAACAGCTGCTCTTTAAAAAAAACCAATCACAATAATATTATATATTGTTGAGCACTTTTCAGCATATTATACAAGAATCACAAAGTAATCAATAATATTACTAACACACTTAATGACCTTTCATAAATTGAACACACAAAGCATTGTGCCAAATGTAGTCTTCTCACTTAGAGGCCAATATTATTCCACATAGTCAGAGGCAGGTTTGGATTATAGTTTTCAAACATAATTTTTTCGAAGACTGATTTGGTCCAGAATTCTGTTACTTGTCACATTATAAAAAATATCAGAATTAAAAACAAAGCAGTAGGTGGAAGGAAACATAAACCATTTAAATATTTTCAGTTTTCAAAATATATTGGGTCAATGGACCCTGATATCATGAAAAGAAAAAGAGGTAAACGTCCAGAAAATGCTGTGTTAATATACTGGTATGAAGATACATATCATGTTTGACAAAACAAGAACACCAGTCACCCCACTGTTAAATCTGTTATGATTAATGTCAATATCTCTCATCAGGCAAAAAACAACTCAAAGTATCAAGTTTCTGGTCTCCGACCGCCCATTTTCATCTCCCACATCAGACTTATTTATTTTCGGCAAGGGTAAGTAACTCTAAACTGCTTTCCTACAAATGAACTCATAAACAGAGCATGTACACATGATGCAACGCACATTTATCATCCAAAACTGGCTCCCACAGGAGATATTGCTTGGATGAGATCAAGCGATATCTACACTGTAGATATCGCTGCAATGAAATTACATCACAATGCTTTGCAGACCATTGTGACGTCACTGGTTACCATGACGTCACAATCAAATGACATCACTAATGGCTCTGCTACTGAAGCTGTTTGCAGTACTTTTTACACTGAAGACACTGCTAATTACTGTCTACAAATTGAAAAAGTTGAAAGAATGATGTTGGATGATAAATAAAATCTCACCCTCGTGTCTTTTGATATCAAATATATCAACACTTTTATCAACTCGTGTTGATATACTTGATATCAAAAGACACTCGGGTGAGATTCTCTATCTGTGCAGCTTGTGTGTTGGCTGAAGAAAATTAAAAGGCCTTTCTGACTTGTCAAGTGCAGATTTGACATCACTCTTAAAGTTAAATTGTTGTGAAAGGGCAATAAAATACTAGAGACAACAATGTTGTTCCTCCAAAATATGAAAATTGTTGATACACTGTATCATGTAAATGAGCAAGCTAGCCAACCTATTTTCCAGGGATAATATCCAGTTAATTATACTAATGCAGTGTGTAACTTTTGTGATGAGGATAAAGTTATTCTACTAATAATTAATTAATCACTGAAAAAATACAGAACAATACTATTGTACCTTTATACATTATAAGTATGTTGCAATGTCAAAGTAATACTTGCATTTACTAACTGACAATATGAGCACCACATCAATGCGTTTGGAATTAAGATAAATAATTTCATCAATTGCTAGTGATGTTAGACAAATTTCGTAACTAGAACTGTAAATGCCTTGCATTCAAGATATACTAGAATAGTAGCAGGCCTTCAGTTTAGTCGTCCATCCATGGGAACTTTTAGGCAGAAAGTTTCCAGAACCCAGTGGATTATTTTAGAGCTGACAACAATGAGGCCTGGGTGGTCACAATGTGTACATAACCTGGCTGATAGTGTGTCATCACATCCCGATGACAAGATTTGACTATTCACAAGCCACAGGAAATAACTTTTAAGGCTTAAAAAATAAAAGAATTGGTTCTCAGGAATTGACTTTTGAAAATATAGTGTGGGCAGGGGTAGGGTGTAGTATGTCTACTGAGAGAAACTGATTTGGTCTCCAGTCACACATGAGTGATAGGGGTAGTATGTCTACTGAGAGAAACTGATTTGGTCTCCAGTCACACATGAGTGATAGGGGTAGGATCCCTACTGAGAGAAACTGATTTGGTCTCCAGTCACACATGAGTGATAGGGGTAGTATGTCTACTGAGAGAAACTGATTTGGTCTCCAGTCACACATGAGTGATAGGGGTAGGATCCCTACTGAGAGAAACTGATTTGGTCTCCAGTCACACATGAGTGATAGGGGTAGTATGTCTACTGAGAGAAACTGATTTGGTCTCCAGTCACACATGAGTGATAGGGGTAGTATGTCTACTGAGAGAAACTGATTTGGTCTCCAGTCACACATGAGTGTTAGGGGTAGTATGTCTACTGAGAGAAACTGATTTGGTGTCCAGTCACACATGAGTGATAGGGGTAGGATCCCTACTGAGAGAAACTGATTTGGTCTCCAGTCACACATGAGTGATAGGGGTAGTATGTCTACTGAGAGAAACTGATTTGGTCTCCAGTCACACATGAGTGATAGGGGTAGTATGTCTACTGAGAGAAACTGATTTGGTCTCCAGTCACACATGAGTGATAGGGGTAGTATGTCTACTGACAGAAACTGATTTGGTCTCCAGTCACACATGAGTGATAGGGGTAGTATGTCTACTGAGAGAAACTGATTTGGTCTCCAGTCACACATGAGTGATAGGGGTAGTATGTCTACTGAGAGAAATTGATTTGGTCTCCAGTCACACATGAGTGATAGGGGTAGTATGTCTACTGAGAGAAACTGATTTGGTCTCCAGTCACACATGAGTGATAGGGGTAGGATCCCTACTGAGAGAAACTGAGCGCCTGCCAGTAGCCCCTTGTGTCAGGCCCACAGTTTCAAATTTGGATGGGTCCTTACAGCATGTAGGAAAGTTATTTGTCACAATAAGCTGCAGTTTTTTAAATGAGGGCCTAAGGAGTTTAGTCAGGGCCTCCTAAGTCTGCGGGTCCTGATGGTAGCCTTGCAATTCTTTTAAATTTCAAACACTAAGATGGACATATGATGAAAAAACAATGCAACAATGAAAAAAACCACAATTGTCTTGTGTAAGTTAATATAAAAATGTTTTATAAAAAAAGAAAACCACAAGTGGATAATTGCTTCAATTTATCATCATATGAGAGTTACAGGGTGAGAAAAAGTCAAGTTTAAGATAACAATGTTCATGCTTCATCCAGTGTTGTACAGGTTCATTGAAAATTGTCCTTGTTGATGTTTTCCGTCATGTTGACAAGAACTTTACACTAATGAACCGGGACATGGATAATTATGTGTACCAAATTGTGACCACTCGTGCCAATGAAATTTATTGGAACAAGAATAAGAGACATGCACTCTCAATAAACGAGGTCTGCGTACCACCAGTACACTGTATGGAGTTTTTCAAAGCCATTCTCACTTCTGTCTGTTTACCAATGATTTCATATTTAATTGGTTTCCTTATAAATATTTGCTGGCAATTGTTCCTACCTTTTTTTTTTTGTACAGTGTCATCTAAGCTCTTAAGTCAAGTTTTATTCTGTATTTCATATATACTGATGGAAACAAATAGGGGAACAATGAAACATATGGTGAAATAAGCTTACTGTCAGTACATTTGAAATAACGAGCATACAAATTCAACAGATGTCAGAGTCAAATGTTGACATGAGTTTTATGTGCATTGCTTCTAACACGTATTTAGTAGACAAGGCTGGGAACTCATGATAGTATACCATTTAACTGTGTCTACAACTACGTGTTCCCTTTTTCAGTTCCTTCAGTATATTATGCCATTAAACTTGCTGGGTTTGGACCTAAGGGTTAAACGATACACTGAATGCCAATTCACTGAGAAACGTGGCCTTTGATATAATACACAATACATACAGACCTGTATCACTACACTTGACATTACAAAATATATATCTTTACTTACTTAATGGAAGAATAACCCTCTGTAAATATTGATAAATGTGTGCTTGTAAAGTTGCACAAATCAGCTGTTCAATAACATTTACGGGTATATGACACTTATTTTCTTATGCCATTTTTATCACATACACTGTATTTAATTTTTAACTATTTACCATAAACAGTTATTTACTTACAAAGTAACCCTTAAACATCTTTTGTTGAAGAATACTAACATTTTATAAGAAACATAACAAATAAATGATGTGCTTGACATGAAATATTATTACCTAAATGAACTGAAAAAAAAAATGTTTTAAAAAAAGTGGAAAAATAGTTCTTAAACAATTCAAAATTGAATTATTATATCAGCAGGTGACATCTTGCTGAACACAAGACCAACAACAAACAGGCACATACACATGATAAAATAACCGTCACATTGGTTCCTGTATGGCACTGATGACTTCTGAGAATCATGTGATTTGCATGGATGGCATCAAGATGGAACTATACTTGGCTGTAACCATGGTAACCTTGAACACTTACACACTGTTTTTGAAGGCATCAGACCCTAGTAACGCCAACTTAATTGATACCTGTACCACTTATGGTATTCAATACCTCCCTTCACATGTATTCTTACAACTTGAAATATCAGGTGTCTGTAAGCAACAGGCACCACATTCTTGTTCCATAAAACATTCTATGACGACTGTGTCTTTCATAAGTCTTTGCTGAAGGAAAGGAGTAAGGACAGTAGCATTGACGACACGTTTGAATCACCATTCTGATATGCTTCATCAGAGCATCACAAATGAAATATACATTCACTAGGTCAATCACTAACACAATCCAAAGATTCATGTCTTTCAGTGAAATACATGGATTCACTCTCAGTCAGAGTTCAACATCTCATAGGGATTCAGTTGAACTTGTTATATCACAATAGCCATCATAAGCTTCATATCCAATCCACATTTCAACAATTCCAAGAAAGCTGCCAAAATTGAAAAGCAGATGAATGGCAGAGTAGTAATTAGGAGATATTCATCTCTGTCATCCAAATTCAAGAATGACAGAACCTGTGTCCCAATCTTCAGTTTCAAACAAATCCATCCCCAGCACAACCCAATTGTTCACACAGACACAGACACAGACACACGCATGCACGCACGCACACAGACAAAGTATTCACACATGTCCTGGAATACCTCACACATGTCCTTGAATTCCTCACACATGTCCTTTACCATTCACATCCTAGCATCATGAGCGTGTGAGGTGTCATCATCAAACAGAACCTGAAAGTCTTCAACAGACAATAAAGGAATCTCCGAACTTGGAATCCTGCATGTCCCAGGGTCCAAATTCTGATTACTCTTTGTCCTTGGACTGTTTGTGTTATCACTGGTAGGCTTGGACTTGACTTGCGTTTCCTCATCTGACATATCAACATCGTCCGTGAGTCTGGGATCAGCAAGCCCCTCTGTGATCCAGGTGGGCAGGAGAGGCTCCAGATAGCCTTCTGATGGACCAGTGCTACGATCTCCACCATTCGGGCCCATTGTTTTTAAAGGCATTGGCAATTTGAAGCCCCGGGCAAAGGATAATTTTGGTAGGTATAATATTGGAAGTCCTCTTGAGGTCACATCCTCGTCCTAAAAGCAAGCAAATTTTGTTAGCATAATGAAGTTTGACTAGTTCTATTTGCATTGTCAAAGAAATACGTGAAAATTGTAACTTATTTTAGTAGTATATATTGATAATATCAAATGTCAAATATACACAGATGTTTTTATTGTAAAGCTGATAATAGAGATAAAATTAACTAGCTAGCCTGTATGTAGCATTAATTTACTTCAACATCATAAAATAGAAAGACTTATACACACAATCTACATGATTGTTTCTCCATGATGAAGAGTGACAGAGTGAGTTAGGTTTAATGCCGCTTTAAACAGCATTCCAGTTATATCATAGTGTGTCAGCTTAATATGTGAGGAAAGCCAAAGTGATGCAGGTCTCAGGCAATTACCACTTTGATGAAACCCATGAGCAGACAAACCTAGAAACATAATCCGAGTGAACAGGGATTCGAACGAATATCACAGGTTTCTCCCATGCCCAATGCAGCACCTTTGAGAACTGGGCCACCCATGCCCTCATTCAGGATGATAAGTGAGTGAGTATGGTTTCAAGCAGCTCTTAGCAATATTCCAGCAATATGATGGTGGGGGACACCAGAAATGGGTTTCACACATTGTACCCATGTCGGGAATCGAACCCGGATCTTCGGCATGACGAGCGAACACTTCAACCACTAGGCTACCCGACTGCCTCTCAGGATGATGACATTGCGACGACACTGATGATGACAATGAAGGCAGCTGCAGGCAGGGAGCTCACCTGGGCTTATAGTGGATCTCATCGTCAGTTCATGTAATAATTTTCTGTCATTTCTGTTGCAACATCATTCATAGTTCTCACCTGTAAACATTTCTCTAGACTAGTGTAGATGAGTGAAAATGGCGGCCGCTCCTCTGCAAGGCCACTCCAACATGAAGCCATTATGTCATACCTGGAAAGATTTCAGGGGGCAATAAAGTTTTCCATGTTTCTATTGCATTAAACAGGTCTATGAAGTATGGTTGTTTGGTAACCCATATTCTCTGATTTTCAAGTTTGTTTGTTTGTTTGTTTGTTGTTTAACTCTGCTCTCAGCAATATTCCAGCTATCTGTAAATAATCGAGTCTGGACCAGACAATCCAGTGGATGACATCATGAGCATCGATCCACGCAATTGGGATCGATGACATGCATCAACCAAGTCAGCGAGCCTGACCACCCGATCCCATTAGTCGCCTCCTACGACAAGCAATGATGCATGCCATCAGGGTACAGCATCAGGCTATTAACCAAGTCACCAAGCTTGACCACCTGATCAATTGTATCGCCATGAGTAAAGTGCTGACAAACTCCATGTAAAGGTTATAGTATCAAGTTGACAAGCCACATGCCATATTTAGTGAATTCCTCTGAATGTCAACTAAAATCAAGCCTTTGATGGTGAAACCTTGATTGAAAAGCTTAGCTGTAAGCAAAATGTGTTTTACCATGAAATTTTAATAACGTGTTAATGCTCTTAAGTACCTAAAAAACTGGAAAATGTGAAGACCTTAAGCTGGAGCTCATTGTATATTACTAATGAACTATAACAGTGAAACGTAAGAGACTAAACAGAAACATGGTCCCCATTCATATAAGCCCATCCATTTCTAAAACCCCATCATTAATTGGCAGAAGGAATCTGCTGCAGCCGAACACATATTTTATAAGATTTAACGTCAATCTTTAAGCACATTAGAAAATCAAAGATGTATTTTACTCAATGAACTTGAAAATAGTATTCATATCCTAATAAAATCATGTTCTAAGATGCAGTCAGATTAAATAGAATACAAATACTTCATTTCATAGAGAACCTACTTCCATATGAAATGATGGCTTTTTGTCGTGTTCATATAATAATTACTTCACTGAGAATGATTCTAGATTTGGAGTTGATGGTACTGAAAATGAAACCCATAAACATGGCATAAACACCCAGCATCACGTACACAGATGAAGGACAGCTGTCTGGGGCATCCAGCCTCCCGCCCACGGTGACGTAGTGCATCACCTCCTCATTGGAGCAGCCAGGGTAGGGCATGTACCCAAGGGAGAATATCTCCCACAACAATATCCCAAATGACCTGAAACAAACACAGTGACAGTTGTATCAGATGGACATTTATTTGAAAGAATATTTAATTTAATCCCATATTTCTGCTGCAAGTTGCTGTGAGAAAGACATGTTTGAAGGGAACGAAATATGAAACTGGTGAGGTGAGGTGAAATTGGGTTTAACGTCCAAGATTATTGCACTTATATAGCGACGTGCATGCTCGTGTGTGTGGGTGTATGTGGCTGCTTGTACTAGTCCGGACTGATGCTGATTTATAGTGCTAGCTCACTGAGATACCATGCCGCAGTTTAACATGAATACCCCACTCAGACACAGTATACTGACTCCAAGCCGACCAGTCCTTGTTTTAGCCCCTTAATGTCAAGCGCCAGACAGGGTAACACCAAGTACCATCTTTTAACGTCTTTTGGTATGACGTGGCCGGGGATCGAACCCCGGACCTTCCGCTCTCCGGGCGGACGCAATATGAAACTGTGTTCTTAGCGCCATGTTTCCCTCCAGCTTTGGAACATTACCATCTCAGACCAGGTCAAAGTTTCCATGGTAACTTCTTCATTGGTGTCGGAGAATAATAGAATATCTACAGATCGATCATAAGAGGATTAAAAAAAGTTCCTGTTTTAATGTTTAGTAACCTATGGTCCAGCTTAATACCAATTCCAGACGTGAAAATTGTCAAATGTTGTGATGGAAGTACAATGCCCCTAAAAGGCCTACTTCCTCAGGATGGTTAATTATTTTTTTTAAATCAAGTCATATCTGATCTCTCAGCAAAGGATTTCAGCATGTCATAACCAGGCCAGATATTTAGTTAATGATTGTTTTTTGGAACATCCTGGTTGGCAGGTGAGAGAGAAAAAAGAAAGAATAATGACTGCTTAGGAAGCAACTATTTGATTTCGGGGGGGGGGGGGAGGTAGATATTTCTAAAAACAAAAACGAAATCAAGCCTCTGAATCTTTTCACATGCGCCTCACGTAATGTGTCCTTTTCTTGCAGACAAATCTGTTCAAAGAATACATTTCATTAGTTTTTTATTTAAAAATAATAAGAAGTGAGCACCTGTTTATGTTTGAATACAAATTGAGCTAATAAACATTTGAAAAAAAATGCTGATCTGAAACAGAAATCCCACCCCTCCTTCCCTGAAAATCAAATGGTTGCTCCCTTAGGGTTTGGTGATCCAATCTAAAAAAAGCAGAATTAGATGTCCCATTAGAGGATAATGATCACAAAACAGTTGCCTCATTACAGCAATTCCCGCAAACTTTCTTACATCATCAGTACATTAATTCCCCAAAGGAAACTGTCATGAGTAGTTAAAGGCTTCTGCGTGTATTATTCTGCACAGATGAGTCTTACCATACATCCGTCTTTGTGGTGAATATTCCATCCAGAAAAGCCTCGGGGGGCATCCACTTAACTGGCAGCAAGGCATTGCCAGCCTTTTTGTAATAATCAGATCTGAAAGAGTAAAGGATTAATGATTGTTTTGGCTGTTAAGAGCAAAACAAAATTGCAATCACCATTTGGTAGACGGAACAACACATAAAGATTTCTAAAATAATCTGTAAGGTGTAGTGGTTAAAAATACTAACATATGAGTGACATCAAGCTGCTATTCTGTGATATTTCAGCATTCATTACACTTCCACTGAGAGCTAAATGTTGGATAAGGGACGGAAGTGAATAAGTAACGTGTGTCAGCAGTCCATCTTGTAGGAGATATTCACACATGTGGGGATTACCAAATCGAAAGAACCATTCAACAGCTGTCAGTTAATGCTTCCAAGGAATCAACTTTTTATAAGACGTCCTATATCAGTTTCAAAGTGAAAACGCCTAACAGATTCCCCAGAAAGGGTATTTGTAAGTGGATAGCATTAATGTGTTTCTTGCAAAACATTTTGTTGAATGACTGCTGAAATTCTGCTAAGACATCTATTTCATTATTACCTCAATTTACAAGGAATTGATACCCTAGGGTTTGTCTGTTAAGCTGTTCCCTGACAAGATTTAACAAAGCAATGGCTGGATTGGAATAGGGATTGGAATAAGTGTTGAACTGCTGCATAGAAAAGCAACCATAAACTCCATCAAGTAGATAACATGTACAAGATTAGACATACAAAACACAGTCTGAAGTGGAGTCATTGTCCTCCTCCAAAGTCCACTCCAAAGAAACTACCATAATTTTTCATGACATTGACTCTATTTTCAAGCACTTTCAAGTGACTTTCCAAGCTGTGTAAAATATTTAGTCACACGGTATACTGTTAGCTGCAAAATGGTCCTTGTGAAATATTATAAAAACATGGTTTACTCTTCCTTCAAACCAGCATCATGTGAGTCTTGGATAGACATTCAGAAGGTGGAGAACATGAATAGATGATACATATTTATGGATAGCAACTTCTTTATTCTCTGTATACCTGATGAAGGGGTGAGAAGTATTCCTGAAATGTCATGACAAAGTTTGTTTGTTTGCTGTTTAACACCACACTCAGCAATATTCCAGCTATATGACGGCGGTCTGTAAATAAACAAGTCTGGAACAGACAATCCAGTGATTGACATCATGAGCATCAATCCATGTAATATGATGATATGCATCAACAAAGTCAGCGAGCCTTACCATCCAATCACGTTAGTCGGCGCTAACGACAAGCATAGTTGCTCATTACAAAGAATATAGAAGTTATTAGCCGTAAAAGAATGTCATATATACATGGTTTACTGTTTGCTCAAACCAGCATCATGCTGGATATGTGCCTCTGACATTGTTTATGAGGTTTGGGTCACTCACATACAGAGACAGTTGATTTCCTGTTAAGCCTATTCGTTTCATTATCTGGTTCTGATATGTGCCTTTTTTTCATAAATGTTGACATTATTCTCTTTATTGAACCTAACAGAGGCAGGTTTTGCACTGCTATATTAATTCTAACCAGCAATCTTCGACAAAACGGAAAGGTAGAAAAAATATGTCTGAAGGAATATTGTTTGTGTTAGTTTGCATTAGCTTTGCCCAATGAATGAAAAAATAGCGATTGATTTAATAACGGCTACATTCATTTTTTAACTTGTCAAAGTTTTGTCTTCAGCTTCAGGTAGCAGCTACCATGTCTCAGACCAGAGTGAAAGCTGACTGGCCTTTCATGCTGTCTGCGACTTTAACCACTAGTCCAACGCCCAAGTCTAGTAAAATTCTGTTGAGTCTAGTTAACTCAACTGATAATAATCCATACAAACACCATATTCTACTGAAAAAAATTCTAAGAGCCATGTTGGGACTAGTAATCTCAAAGGTTTTTGAGACAGACTATCCATGGCTCTGGTGCTGGAATGATCTTCATCATCAATTGTCACATATTGAAACACCACAAAACTGAACATACAAGTCTTTACTGTGGTGCATTATGAAAAGTCATTGCCTGATCTACATCACAGACAAAAAACAGCCTAAGGCAGAAAGGCTTTCATTTCAATAAGCAGGAGACATTTGCCAATACAACCTCTGATATTATTAATGTTGTTCAGAAAATGATAAATTTCTTTGGGCTAACATAATGACTGATGGTACATATAACATCTCAGAGTAGACCAGACAAGTTTCATTCTTTATCTTTTACATATTCTTATTCAATATCCCAAGAGGCATGAGAAATATATTTGATAATTATCTTAAACTTGAAAATTAAAAAGTTAAACAAAAGAAGTTGAAAAAGAATATTTATAATTGAATAGCACTTTTAACATTTTTAAATACACTCTATGCTATATTTATACCATAGAGAAGGCTAAAATCTATACAAAACAGCACTTTGTTTCCATTTTGTAAGATATACATAAAAACAGAAACAATGTTACAAGCTACATGTTCTTTTTTAGTGTCTTTGATAGAGTTCATATTGATGACCTTTGATATTAGGGTGATCTGATATTTTGGTAAATTGAAAAGCATTTTTCACATGCAAGTCATGGAATCATTCACGTGTTTCTTAGAGTAAGTTTATGGCACATGTTGTTTTCAACAGTCATCCACATGAATTTTGAAATTCTTTTGTCATTCCAAGATTCAATGAGTATGCCAGAAATAAATCTTATTGAAGACATGAAGCTGGTGAATCACAATCATCTGTGGCAAGGGATTTCAACGTTGCCCAGAAAACAATGTCCTGACTTTGACATTGGCAATATGGCACCACTCAAGGTCATCCAAGATCAGGTCGACCCTGCACCACCACAGTAGTCCAGGATAACAGCATCAGAGTCCAGGTCACTAATTCCTGTCCCCTGTCTGCACAGACTGTCCGTAACCCAAACAAGAATGCCCTACAATGGCATTATTTTATGTCAACATAATTGACCTCAGAAGGTGCAGTGGTGTCAATTTTATCAACAGTGGCTTCTCCAACATTGTCACCAGGTAGTGATGAATCCTGTTTACTTCTTTGTATCTGTGTATCAGAGACAGAATTATCTTTTTATATCCAGGGCAACTCAACAGCTGTGCACCCTTGTGACGAGATCTTACATGGCCCCTGTGCTGTCCCTGCTCTGAAAGCACCAGATGCCATTTTTCAGTATGACAATGCTCATCCCCACACAACATGAGTCAAGTAATCCTGAGTGTTCATACATTAACATACTGCTTTGGCCAGATGGACACCAGATCTAAACCCAAGTGAGCGGTATCCTCCCAAAACGTAGACCTGCCAAAACGCAGACCCGTTAAAACAACACTCGTTATGGCTGGTTGCATCAGCAAAAAGTACCCTGTACCCTTGATTAAGTAAAATGGTATCACCCATGTAACAAGAAAGAAAGCTGGGTAGATTTCACAATTTTTTATTCAAATGTTATTTCTGACGTGCCGCGAACGTAGTCTCTGACTGTGGTGCACTTGCCACTGCAAGATCTGTTCACACACCTCCAGTACACATTTTCATTTTTCGTCCTGTTCTTAGCATATGTGTAGCCGTCTAGCACCTTTCTGGGACAAGACATACTCAACTTTCGTAAGTCCGGCCATAGCTTAATTGGATGAGGTTGAAGCTCATGTTCAAATATATTTATATGTTACACCATAAACAAGAGAAGGAAGTATTAGTGATTGAGAACATTTGGTATATTCTTACACAAATCCCACAACTTGTTTAAAGGTATGTTTGAATAAGATTTGTGATGTACCGGGAGCAGATTAATGAAAGGAGGAGTTTTTTAAAGACAATGTTGTTGTTGTCCACTACTGCTCATTGTCTCAACATATTGATAATCCCTCATAGCAGGGGAGTAGACCAGTCCATTCATTAATTAGGTGTGACCAGCATGGCCCAATTAATTAGTTAGCTAATTTTAACTGCTTATTGGGAGGTCTGCATTTCGGAGGTCTATGTAATGGGAGGGAACCAAGTGAGCATCTATGGGATGAACCAGACAGATGTTTACATCAACCAGAATTGAAAACAATTATGCCAAACTTTTCAGGAACAAGAAATGTTCAAACAATATAACAAACAAATGTATACAATGTATCTATTTATTATAGGGTGGGGATAATATCAGTTTGCATGTTATGGTCAAGGTACCTAGGGATGCTTCCAACCAAATATGGTTGATATCTATCTCTTAGTTCCAGAGAAGAAGTCATTTAAAGCTATATAGCCAAATTATCCCTATTTGGCCCCACCCTTCAGTCCCTTGAGGGGTCAGCCCCACCATTTGTACAACTTTCCATCCTCACCACCAGAGAATGCTTCCAACCAAATATGGTTGATATCTATCTCTTAGTTCCAGAGAAGAAGTCATTTAAAGCTATATAGCCAAATTATCCCTATTTGGCCCTGCCCCTCAGTCCCTTGAGGGGTCAGCCCGTCCATTTGTACAACATTTCATCCTCACCACCAGAGAATGCTTCCAACCAAATATGGTTGATATCTATCTCTTAATTAGTTCCAGAGAAGAAGATGTTTAAAGCAATATAGCCACATTACCCCTATATGGACCCGCCCCTCAGTCCCTTGAGGGGTCAGCCCCACCATTTGTACAACTTTTCATCCTCACCACCAGAGAATGCTTCCAACCAAATATGGTTGATATCTAACTCTTAGTTCCAGAGAAGAAGATTTTAAAAGCAATATAGCCACATTACCCCTATTTGGCCCCGCCTCTGAGCCCCTGGAGGGGTCAGCCCCACCATTTGTACAATTTTGAATCCCCACCACCTAGGGATGCTTCCAGTCAAATTTCGTTAATTTCCAATTTGTGGTTCAGAAGAAGAAGTCATTTGAATAAATTGTTGATATACGGACGACGGACGGACGACGGACGCCACGGTATGGCATAAGTTCACCCTGGTCCTTCGGACCCGGTGAGCTAAAAAGGGGCTGCCATTCCACAAGGTATTCTATATTGTAAAAGTTACAGAATGAATTTCTTAAAAACCACATACTCATATTGTT